GGAATTCATTTGTTTAGTCAATTACCAAAATTTGGATGATTTTGAATATTCACTTGAAAAGTTATCAAAGAAAAACATTTTTCATTTTGTAACTTCGAGGGCCCGTAACTTGGTTACGAAGACTTTTAGGAAAAAAAGTTATATGAAGTACTGGTGATATTTTGACCCCATCTATACATTCCCGAGAGGAAAAGAGGAAGTCCAGGGACACCCTGTATTGTTGACCACAGTTGCCGCAGTAGTGATATTGTTAAATATGGTTTGTAGACAGTCCGGAAATTTCGTCTCCTCAGTATTTTCCCGATTTTGTCGGTAACACCTTTGACGAAAGGCATAGTCACGGTTTTCCTCTGTTGTGATGGGTCTTGTTTTTGACTGGTTTTTACGGGGTTTTTGTTTATTAATAGCAATTTCAATTCTCTAGGGTACGTAATCATTTCGTTGCAGTGCCTTCGTGGTCTCTTCCAATTCTGCTGCCTATTTGTTAGTTCTGTTAGACGAAAACAGCGAGTTATCAGTGTATTTATTGTTCTACAGGTTACACCTAACTACAGTCAAATTACGATACAATACAATTACAATAAGTTATAAGGTGAAAACAATACATATACATAGAATTAGCTGAAGTAAAAAGACCTATTCGCAGAGATGGAACAGTAAAAAATATCGAGCTGACAACTTGACCACGCTTGCGTAAATTATAGCGCGGTATTTCCTGAAGATGTTGATTTCGGTACCTGAATGTTTGGGATGTTGATTACTTCAGATGAAACTGATACCTCTGGTACCTTATTATTCATCAATGGTTGTTTACGGTTATTATCGCTGTAGTGTATTCAAAATTGACTTTTTCTTTGAAATTTTCGATTACATGTCCGTTTCTGACTTACAGGGGGAGGTGGTCAAGTTTTCGTTGGAACGCCCTATATATTCACAAACGTTTCCAGGTGTTCATCCGTTATGTTCTTCATCAAGTATCAACAATTCGCCATCATCTCAGAAAGTATTTTCATGACTGGTTACTGCTGTTTCTTTTTTGATATCTTCTCGTTTACGTAAATTATAGCGAAGTATTTCCTGATTTGTTGAATCTGGTATCTGGTGTTTGGGATGTTAATTACTTCACATAAAACTGATACCTCTGGTAACTCATTATTTATTAATGGTTATTATCGCTGATTATTGTTTTCTAAATTGTTATTCAAATCGAAATTAATCTGTCTCTAGGTGGAGTTTTTGTGCTCCTGGCCCTAGCGGATATATCCTTCTGCTGTTCTGGCCAATATATTGTTGACCACAGTTGCCGCAGTAGTGATATTGTTAAATATGGTTTATAGACAGTCCGGAAATTTCGTCTCCTCAGTATTTTCCCGATTTTGTCGGTAACACCTTTGACGAAAGGCAGAGTCATAGAATTAGCTGAAGTAAAAAGACCTTTTCGCAGAGATGGAACAGTAAAAAATGTCGAGCTGACAACTTGACCACGCTTGCGTAAATTATAGCGCGGTATTTCCTGAAGATGTTGATTTCGGTACCTAAATGTTTGGGATGTTGATTACTTCAGATGAAACTGATACCTCTGGTACNAATTTGAGACGACCGGTTCAGTAAACACTCAGCGAACACCCGTACGTTCAAGGAACGCAAGATCGGCCGAGAACATCGCCGCGGTCCGTGAAAGTGTACATCAGAACCCGAGGCAGTATATTCCTCGCCGTGCACAAGAACTCGGCATTTCGCAGACTTCAACTTGGCAAATTTTGCGTCGGGACTTGGGCCTACACCCGTAAAAGATACAACTGACCCAGGAGCTCAAAGTTCATGACCATAGAAAACGCCATTTGTTCGCTGACTGGGCTTCGAATCGTTTAGAAGAGGACCCCAATTTTGGCCGAAAAATCATCTTTAGTGACGAGGCGCATTTTTGGATGTGTTAACAAACAAAATTGCTGTATATGGGCCGTCACCAACCCACACGAGTTTCACCAGGTGATAATGCATCCTCAAAAAGTTACCGTTTGGTGTGGATTTTGGGCCGGCGGCGTAATTGGTCCGTACTTTTTTGAAAACGACGTTAGTGAGGCGGTCACCGTCAACAGCGAGCGCTACAGAACGATGATAACTAATTTCTTATGGCCCAAATTGAACCATATGGATCTAGACGACATGTGGTTCCAGCAGGACGGCGCTACGTGCCACACAACAAACGCCACGATTGACATTCTGCATAAACGATTTGAGGGTAAGGTTATCTCTCGCAGGGGTGATGTGAATTGGCCACCAAGGTCATGCGATTTAACACCGCTAGACTTTTTCCTGTGGGGTTTCTTGAAGTCGCAGGTCTATGCAAATCGACCGATGCCCTAAAGGTGAACATAACACAGGCCATCGCTCAAATTCAGTCGGATCTATGCGGAAGAGTCATTGAAAATTGGACCACTCGGATCCGTGGCACCGTAAAAAGCCGAGGCGGGCATTTGAATGATGTAATATTCCACACTTAATGGCATACATGCGCTTTTCAAATAAAAAAATTATTTTGTTAATACCTTACACACAGCTTGTTCTATTCCATTTCAACATCTACCCGCCCTTATTGAAAAACCCTATATAACAAACTTTAGAAGTCCTTTGAATTAAGTATAACAAAAAAAATAAACGCAATTAACTCACTTCTTTGGGCCGAGCGGTTCCAATTTCATTGTATCCGTTTGCATTTTGATCGGCACACTTCAACTTGATTTCTTCCACATGCATCAATCTCAAATCTTAGGTATTTACTGTGCGTATGCGTAACAACATTCAGCATAACCGTATTCTCTATCCACTCCTGAAAAAAAACATGAGTAAACACGAATGGTAGAACTTCGCTATTTCATATGTTTCTTCTTGTTTCTGTTGTCGAAAGAAGTTAGTAATTTTGTTTCAAGTTCCACGTTTTCAAGAAACCAGTTTGATTTTTTCAGATTTGATTACATCAAGCAAATGAATGTGGAGTTCAATATTTCATTTTTCATTATGCTAGTCTTGAATCAACCGCCTGGCAAGTTCATTGATTTTTTTTATAGTACTAAGTATGTACTCAAGTTGAATCAGTAGATACTTTTTTTTGTTTTTAGTTGCAATCCTAACAAAATTGTTAAACTTCATTATTTGATATGAAATATGATACAGATCCAATTTTTTTAGAGAAATCACATGATAATGAAAACGTGTTTTGTGTTTTCTTCGACGAAGAAACATGCAGTAGGCCTTGTTTCAATAATTATTCTTAATTGGTAACGAAATATTCAAGAGATTTCGGAAACCTTCAGAAACTACTAAATCTAGAAAAATTATAGATCTTTCTATTGTCTTCGAATTTTCATATCTGTAAAATGATTGTACTATACTCAAAAATATCGACAAAGTGATTTAACTGTTCTCATTCATTTCTCGACATTCATGCAAGTCAGATTTCTCTTTCAACAAAAATTATGTGTATACATAAAATAATACATACGGTGGAATTGAAAATGTGGTTTTTGTAAAAGTCGGTTGAAATCCTACAGGAATAAACTTTTACCTTGCACTTCTACGTACAACAGCCAAAGATGCAAATCAGTCCTTTATTATATATCGCATGGTATTCAAAGTTCCCCGAAAAAGTTTTATTGATATTGTTCGAAAGATGTAGGGATTCCCCGTTTCAGCAGCTGGTGGTAAACCGCAAAAGTTTTGAACATCATGGATAAATTTCGTTGGCTATTCTTGAGAAGGTATAGTGGGAATAAAGAAAACAATGAAAATCAATCCGAATATTTTAAAATTACCGAAGCGACGTTTCGACGTGTATTTTTTAAAGTAAAATATATAATCAGGATCAAATGTACTAATCAAATTCGATCAAAAAACAAATCAAACAGAGCAAATTACCGGACAACCTACCAAAATTAAGTGTTAAGGATCTATTGATCCTTGATAGTTCCAACGATGGTACATAAAAATTTATCTGTATTAAAATTTTCCTGTATTGAAGTTTCTGCTGGATAAGAAGATTTCAGATTCAAAGATATTAAAATGAAGACTTCAAATCATCTGCAAAACCCGTGATCGGTAGTTGATGAAGTTTNCTCTACTGCAAATTTGTTTATCGGTTATAAATGATTTGCTAACAGTTGAACTTTGAACATCAAACCAAAACTGACCTATGAATAATATAAAGAGTCGGCAGAAAATAATATTTACCAAACTACGAGGTAAATATTTGGATGGAAATATTGTAGAGTAAATTATTTCTGAATCAAACACACAGGAACCAAAACACTTTTTGAAAAAATATACTTTAACAAATAACCCAAATGGCAATTTTTCAAAAATTGTTTCTATTGCCATTCGATTCCTTTTTTGTTCATAGGCATTTTTTATTCAAATGAATGAAAACAAAAACAGTTTCTTGCAACCTGAATGTTATAGTTATTGTGTAGGTATATTAGTCTAGATGTCTAGATCATGGGTTGAAATTCATGTTAAGCTCTTTAAAATATGACATATAATTCATAACATCTTGTAGAAAACTGGGTTGTGATGATTCAACAGCATACAAAAAGTTTTAATATTACTGAGTTTTAGCTATTCAACAGCAGATATAGGCCAGACAAGCAGAAATTTCAACATAAGGTACTGTGAGCAGGTGTTATCAGATAAAAAATCAGCTATATATGGATTTCTACAAGAAACAAACGATACAATGAATAAAGAGAACATGATAATTCTCCCTAAGGAAAGGGAGATGAATTTGTTGGAACCATTGGAAATGATTAAATTGAATAAAAACTTATATCTTATGACTGTTCTGATCTCAGCAAAGGTATGGAATATTCAGGTAACATTGTTTAAATTTCAGGTAGCTATTGCCGGTAACTAAATGACATTGACTATATCATTGTGTATTCAAGGATTTGTTTGTCTGTCTACATCAGTTTTTGCCTGTGTTCAGGTTGCGTTCTCGGCGATGGCGCTTCATTGCTTAGACCGCCCCCTACCCCCGCGCATCGTCCCCCGTCGACTTACAGCAGACGCGACGCGTTATGGCTTACTGCGTTGCGCCAAGTTAATTTTATCGTGATAACTTTTAAACGATTCTTCCAAATTACTTCCAAAGTAAAAGACAACGTCTACCTATATTAAATACTTAAAATGACAATTGTATAAATTTTTATAAGAATTTGACGGATATTCTAAAGAAAATGTGCATTCTAAAAATGTATCCAATTTAATTGTATTTATGTCTCAGTATTTTGCATATAGTGGCTACCANGACCTCAATTTGGGTTGCTTCATTCAGTAATCTTGGGGCATTCCTTTTTTTATTTTGCACTGATCCCGTTTCTCTAAACTCTTCAACTAATTCGCGGACGTACACGTGACTCACATTTTTGTCCGGATGCCTTTCATAAAATTTTGAACTGTTTTTAAATAACACTGGTTCTGGAAATATGAAAATTATCTCCACGCGCTCAGGTATACTGTAAACCATTGTGACAACTACAGCTGAATGACAGTACACATCGTACAAATGATAAAAACTAATGACATTTAAAAGTCTCAAAGAAACCAAAAATTTTTTACTCTGACAGAACCAAAAAAAACAGATCTTTCCAACTTGTTTTGCAAAAACGGTATCGACAGACACTTATTATTCAAAATAATAGTCTGGGAGGTAGCATTACAAATAAAAAAGTCATAGTAAGCCGGCTGATATTGAATTTCGTGCAGACTTTGACAATAGGCTGTATTATTTTTTACAAAACAACGGAATCCACTTTGAAGATTTACTTAATTTACATTTTTAATGAATCTGTAGTTCAACAAAAACCTCATTAAATATTCCCTTTGAGCCAAAGTTTAACAATTATTGCTTCGCCCTGTACAATTATTATTTATACCATTGGATAGGATTTTTTATAGTCTTACCAATGATGTATCACAAGTAGGGGTTTGCAATTTAAACTTTTTGTGTTTTGGTGGGTGGGGCCAAGGGGGTTGATGGTGGTGGGTTCTCTTTCATGTCACTTTAATTCCCCCTTACTCTCCTAGAAACGGTTTCAAGCATTTTTCGATATCAGAATTCGTTCGTGAGATATAGCCCGTTATAAGTTTTAAAATTGACACACTGTATGCTATCGTGGACTTTCATTTAGAACTATTCAAGATAATATACCTAGGGTGAGGAGTGAGCTATTATTTACCGAGCATTTAATAGGTAAATAGTAGCTTTCTCAGCCGAGGTATATATAGATTTTTTTTCACTACTAACATTGATATATTAACAATTTTAATTTTGGCATTAGTAATTTTCTAATAATTTGTTGAATATCAAGTAGAGTGGAGCGTGTTTCTAATCATACTGGCTTTATTTGATATATTTCAATGTTCCACTTATCTCATCGCTTGTGTATGTTCAGAACTTAGAATTTCTCAATTCTGCATTATAGTGAGAAAAAAATTTCCTTGGTTATATGATAACCCAAGGCAGCTATGAATTGTTGCATGTCATATTGAAATGGTACAGTTTCCATGTTGAATACGCGATGTCGATGATAAGCGCGCAACATCTACTTGACAATCAAACATTGCACAATGATTATTATTGCTGTCAGTTTGCCAAATGCGGTTTTAATTCAAATTCAGATGTCATTTTGAAGAAGTTAAAAGACCTATATAAGTAAAACGTCAATATAATTAATTGAAAAATGGGTGAAAATTCTAGTGACGATGATTTAGAGATGATGTGTACCCCGCCTGAAGTTAAGAGTGGTGGCAGCTAGTACAAGTAGTGACTTATTGCCAGAAAAATCAAAGAGACTGTACATGAATGCATATAACCAACTGAAAATATGGTGTGAAGAAAGGACAGTTGCTAAAGTAACAGAAAATGTTTTATTAGCGCATTTCAAAGAGAAATCTGAAGGCAAAAAGGTATCGACATTGTGGGCAAATTATTCCATGCTAAAATCGACACTTGCAATAAAAGAAAATATTGAATATGAACTTGAAAAATCAAAAGTATTTACAAAGGAAGAAATTGACAAATTTATAGTTGAAGCTTCTGATGACGAATATTTATCAAAAAAGGTATACTTGTGTTATACTGGTCATTCTCTAAGGCGTAGCTCGGCAACACTTCTCGCAGAAAACGGAGGAGACTTACTAAGCCTGAAACGGCACGGTGAGTGGATGTCGGCTGCAGTGGCTGAAGGATATATTGAGGAATCAAAAGCTGTTGAGAAGAGAATCGCCGAATTTGTACAAAAATGTAATTTACCCAATGAAGCTTCAAATATAACTTCTTCTGCAAGTCAAGATGGTGTCTTAGAAAACGTCCATGTTGAAGATAATTCAGTGGAAAAAGGTAATTAATGCGTTCAAAATACGAGGATTGTTTGTAACACAGAAGTGAATTTACCTGGTCCAAATGTTAGTTCCGTTAATACAGGAAATGCTGGAATACCCATGATTTGTCACAATTGTACAATTAATTATAATTTCAAATAATTTTCAAGCGTATTTCTAATGTTCAATTTCCTACTTCTAGTTGATAATTAAGTCAACAAAAGTTTCTGTGAATATCTTTGAAATTATAGAATTGTTCTCATTATTTACCTAGGTGTTTTTTTATTATCATTATTTACCAAGGGTGAGAAATATTGATTCTCGTTAGGGAATGGAGTAAATAATAGCAATTTCTCAGGTTAGTAGTGAAAAAACAATCTTACGGTACATGTAACTCCAACGGTATAGGCAGCGCACGCCAACGTAGCTTTCAGGGAGCAATATTTTTCCGACTTATCGTTATATTATGACCAAAACTACATGAAATCTTTGTAAATTCTAGCCTTAATGTTATTCTGATATATAAGCTGTATTTAGGTAAAGTTTCATCTAAATCCGTTCAGTCGTTTAGGCGTGAAAGAGGCACAAACATACATACATACACATCATCCTTAGAAACTTTCACATTCATAATATTAGTATAGATATTAATTTTTTTGTGTATTCATTGTTACTGTTGATTTTTTTTCATTCCCATTCAATACTAATTGCTCAATTCTTCTGGTTGGCAGTATTTTTATCATTTTTAATATTTCATTGTTTTTTTTCCTTTTTTGTATAAGTTTCAAATCTGTTTATATTTTTAGACACTGAAATTCCGAATCTCTAATATTATCAACTACATTTGAACAGAATTATGTAAAAACGTGTTGACATTGGAAATATGGATTTTCTCATTTCAAATTTCAAATACGTATTCTTAATAATCAAATGATTGATATGAAATAATATGAAATTCAAAAAGTTTCAATGTATTTTCATTTGGAGTTGTCAGGTATGCCCGTTATATAATTTCTATTCTAACTTTAACTCAGTGGGGATTTCTGCAACCAAATAATGTTTTTGTTTTATTTTGGCAGGGTTCCTCCAAAAACTAATCATAAGAACAGGAAGTACTTTCTACAGTTGTATATTAAAAGCATATCATTAAAATGTAGCGAATGGTATAAAACAATGTCCTCCGATACAAACGTTTATTGTCGACCTAAATTAACACAAATTACTCTTTATTGTTCGTGTACATTACCAATTGATGAAACCAGCACACCAGTCACCCATACACACTTATCCAGGAAAACCGTCGACTTATGTAACAGTATTCGAGATGTCAAGCAGACTAGACCCTTCCGGAGACTGATGAACGTAACTCTCATTCAGCGCCAAATAACTTATTGGATTGTTGCTATAGCTGTTGTTTTCTGTCTTCCACTAACACACTACTCATTCAACGGACGTAGTATTAAACTGATTTTAATAGATGCAGGAGATTTTTTTAATGTTAGGTCAAAGGTATGGTTCGATTATTTTCAATACTGGGTGTTTACTAACCGTATACGACTGGGGATTTTTGATTGTATTTACAAAATTTATAATTTTGAACGGGACAAATATCAATGTTCGACAAAATCTTGGTGTTACATCACTTGTCGCCCAAAGGTCGCTACTAACTTTTTTCAAATGGAAAAAAGAGGGTCTTTTGATAACTCTTCTGATAACTTCAATTCTCTATCCGAATTTTTTTTTAATTTTTGAAAATCGTATCAGTCATTCTTGAGTAATAAATTGTTTCAGGGTCTCTTATTCAAGTAGATCCTCTGCAAACCCCGGTTTCGAGGTATTGCCACTCGTCAGTACAGAATAATTTCAGCGTGGTCCTAAACATCTGCGAGACTAGCCTCTGTGAGGAATCTTGCATAATGAGATATCTGTGTATGACCAACTAATGCCGCAAGTCAAACTCCTGATCTCTGCAATCAAGCATGGCTTTCTAGCAAGTAAGTATACTGTATCGAATCTCTGCAGTATCAAGCAGACAGAAAAGGACAAGTTGACGTTATAAACACAGATTTTGCACAGGCCCTCGACAGAATTAGTCATTCCACCTTACTTAGAGAAAATAGCTCAAATGGGTTCAAACCTCTCACCAACTCAACTTATACGCTCTTATTTGGACCAGAGAACCAATGTTGTTTTTTATAACAGATTTACAATACAATACAATTCTTTATTTTTCCTGAGCCTTTTTACAAGCATGGAAATCGTCATATACACAGTAAAGATTGGAGTTGAAAAATATCAAGTGATAAAATATGGAACATACATAAAAAAATTAAATCAATAGTAGATGTAGGAGATAATTATTAAAACAAATACATAGTATAAACAGTAAAATATTAACAAGCAAACAATCGTGATGTCAAGCAGCCAGAACAGCTTGAAAATATTCATCAAGTGAATAAAAGGCATTTTTGTAGAGAATATTTTTAACGCTATTTTTGAAATTAATGGGATTTGAAAGTTTCCTAGTGAATGTTGGAAGTTTTTTAAATATTTTTATAGACATAACATGAGGTCCATTTGATACAGATGTTAATTTGTGTATAGGATCTATCAGATTATAATTTTGCCTGAGAGTATAACCAGCAGCTATGCGGATAGTATCCCTTTGCTGAAAC